CGTTAGGAAATTTAATAACGAGTTCAGAAAGGTATGACAATCCATACTTTGAATCAGTATTTGCTTTGTTATAGCGAAAAAACTGCAACGTTTTAGCGAAAAAACGGGTTTGGTTTTTTTTGGAAATTCGCGATTTCAGTTTTTGACAAAAATTGGAATTTTTTCTTTTGGTTTTTTTGCTGTAACTTGGCCAAAAATGGTCCTACACCAAAAATTCATACTGTTTTGAACAGATAACAAAATTTGCTATAAATCCATAAAACTTTCCGTGTAATTTTGGAAAAATAAAATTTTCGCCAATTTTAAATTTTTTTATAAGGGGGTACCCCATGATTTTTTGCGAAAAATTAAAAATAAATAAATTGTCAAGGTTTAAATGCCAATCGTTAGGAAATTTAATAACGAGTTCAGAAAGGTATGACAATCCATACTTTGAATCAGTATTTGCTTTGTTATAGCGAAAAAACTGCAACGTTTTAGCGAAAAAACGGGTTTGGTTTTTTTTTGGAAATTCGCGATTTCAGTTTTTGACAAAAATTGGAATTTTTTCTTTTGGTTTTTTTGCTGTAACTTGGCCAAAAATGGTCCTACACCAAAAATTCATACTGTTTTGAACAGATAACAAAATTTGCTATAAATCCATAAAACTTTCCGTGTAATTTTGGAAAAATAAAATTTTCGCCAATTTTAAATTTTTTTATAAGGGGGTACCCCATGATTTTTTGCGAAAAATTAAAAATGAATAAATTGTCAAGGTTTAAATGCCAATCGTTAGGAAATTTAATAACGAGTTCAGAAAGGTATGACAATCCATACTTTGAATCAGTATTTGCTTTGTTATAGCGAAAAAACTGCAACGTTTTAGCGAAAAAACGGGTTTGGTTTTTTTTTGGAAATTCGCGATTTCAGTTTTTGACAAAAATTGGAATTTTTTCTTTTGGTTTTTTTGCTGTAACTTGGCCAAAAATGGTCCTACACCAAAAATTCATACTGTTTTGAACAGATAACAAAATTTGCTATAAATCCATAAAACTTTCCGTGTAATTTTGGAAAAACAAAATTTTCGCCAATTTTTAATTTTTTTATAAGGGGGTACCCCATGATTTTTTGCGAAAAATTAAAAATAAATAAATAATCAAGGTTTAAATGCCAATCGTTAGGAAATTTAATAACGAGTTCAGAAAGGTATGACAATCCATACTTTGAATCAGTATTTGCTTTGTTATAGCGAAAAAACTGCAACGTTTTAGCGAAAAAACGGGTTTGGTTTTTTTTTGGAAATTCGCGATTTCAGTTTTTGACAAAAATTGGAATTTTTTCTTTTGGTTTTTTTGCTGTAACTTGGCCAAAAATGGTCCTACACCAAAAATTTTGCTATAAATCCATAAAACTTTCCGTGTAATTTTGGAAAAATAAAATTTTCCTACACCAAAAATTCGTACTGTTTTGAACAGATAACAAAAACAAAAAAATGGTCCTACACCAAAAATTCTTACTGTTTTGAACAGATAACAAAATAATAATTAAATCCATGGTACTTTCTGGGTGATCTTGAAAAAATAAAGTGTTCGCCAATTTTAATGTTTTTTGTAAGGGGGTAGGTACATGATATCAACAAGGTTTATTATTCCCATTGTTGAGTTATAATGTGAATTTTTTGGTACAAAATCAGGATCGGAGATTGTGATAAGTAAGATTTTTAGGACCGGAACAGACTGCTCTTGACTATTATTTCACTAAGAAAGTAGCGTCACAACCATTATCCGAGGTTCCAGAAGGGAAGAAGGAAAACAAGAAAGCTTTTTCGTAGTGCCGAACCAGAAACGTACCGACGTAAGACCCCAAAAAAGCGAAACTAGGCGACGTCACGTCGTCGGTCCAGATAGGAGTGAGATTAGTGATAACCTCTGTTATCGGGAGCAGAGAAGACCTCGGAGACCTTGCTGCTAAAATACAAAGTATTCGAAATGAAAACGAGAGCCAGATTGTATTTATTTTTTCATTTATTTTGTAACGTTTTTCTTTAGTTGCTATTTAACTTAAAATTTGCCATAAACTAAATTGTTTTCACTTTAATTTACTATATAAAAATACGCACAATAGTGTTGCAATGGAAGCATAAATAGGCATGTTTCAGCATTAACAAAATTCATGTACAATTGTGTTCATTTCTAAGTTATTGTTTTGTCTTTTTCGTTGTTTTTTTTTTTTTGTATTTTTCTTAGATTTTTGTTTTGTTTTTCTGTATTTGTTGTTGCCAAGGCGGATATCTATGAAATATTATGGTATATGGTTATATAAATAACGAACAAAGTATATATAAATAGTGTATAATTCAACTGGCATTACATTTCTTGTTCTTCTTTGTTTATCGATCATTCAAGAGTACCACATATAGTTTAGTTTAATTCACTTAGTTTTTCTTAGGAGGAAGACGACTTGGACTTGGGTAAGTGTTAAGTGTAAGGTTTTCTTTTATTCCGATAAGGCCACACTTGCTTCATGCTGGGCACAGTTTTTTGTTTTTGTTGTTTTGTTTTCTTTGTTTGTTGTACAAAGGGAAGAACGCGTTAAAAAAAAATCATTATAATAAACATCCAAAGCTCAGGTTTAAGTTAGGTGTTTGGGTGTTTAAAAATTAAATAGAGCAAAAAACAGTATAATATATAAGTATGTTAAATATAGGCATTTTAGTAAACCTTTGCACGCTGCCGTAACTCTCCATTTCGATCAAAACAAGTGCATGGGGGAGTGAGAGTAAAATCAAATCAAATCGAAGGTAAAGTAAAAAATAAAATAGACTTTAAAATAAAATAATAAATAATTAATATGCCTTTTGCACTGCGCTTCCTCTTCCTCATCCATTTCCATTTTCACAAGACTATACATAATTTGTGTTTTTGCGTATATATAATTTATATATAATATTAATGATAAGGCACTTTGAGAATTATTTACCCCCCTCGTGCGCGGTGCACACAAATTGATAAACACGCGTGGAATTTGCTCTTTCGTTTAAGTCATGCTTAAATTTGTTGATGCTGCTGCTGCTGTTGCTGTCATTACATAATTTAATAAGCCGAGTGAAGAAGGTAATAAATAGGAGTAATTAAATATTTGATTTAGTTCGACTTGAATTGCGGCTCGGCTCGGCGCAATTGTTTCGATATAAATTATTTGCACAAAAAAAGGTCTCAATAGATGTAGACTAAAGTCGCTGTATACAGGTTACAGATTATATATTTAGATGTATATATATATATATTTATATTTGTATGGGGCAAAAAGTGTGTACAAAAATAATTTAAATATTTCCTTAAGTTTTGCGCATTTGCATTGCGTTTTGTATTTTGTTTGCTCAGTTTTTCTCGCTTAATTTTACATTTCTAACACTGTACTCAGTTTGTTTTTCCGCTTTTCGGACTTTTCTGATTCGTTTTTCTCTCTTTTCCGGCACATACAAAGATCGACAATCGGTTGCTTTTCCCTACATAAATATATTTTAAATAGGCTTTTTTTGTTGTTTTTGTTAAGGCTTTTCCTTTGTTTTTTCCGTTTTTATTACATATGCATGTACTTCATTATCATTGACATAGGCATAATTATAATATGGTTTTATATAAGTTGTATATAAATTAAGGGTTTCTCTCATAACACTAAAAATTATATAACTGCACCCAAAAATAGAAGAAATCAAGAAAAATGTTTGTAAAATAAATTAAATAAAAATAATATATAATAAACAAAATGATCTGTCGCATATACCATATAAAAAACATAAAATTATCAATGGTCAAAATATATATATGTGTGCGTGTGTGTGTGTATGTCTGAGTGTGTCGCGTGTGTTGTTTTCATAAATTATTAACATTAATTGCATATAAAATATATCTGGTATGTTTTATGTAAATAGATGTGAAAATAAATTATGGTGTTTAAAAATCAGCATTTCCATTTCATAGATCGATTTAAATAGTACAAAGAATCGTAGTCATTTCAAACAAAAAAAAAAAGTAAGATCAAATCAATGACAGAATTCCATTATTAACTTCTTCTCGAAAAACGAATAAATTGTTTGTTGCTCGTTGGTTGTTGGTTATTTGTTGTTGTTGTGATTGGTTGCACGAATTGCAGAGGTATATCATCAATAATATTCATATCATCCAAGATCATCATCGTATAATCGTAATCGTAATGTAATTGGTAAATCATAATTTATAAACTTTATCAAAATATTAACTCTCGTATGTACACAACGTTTTCTATTACATAAATTTAGCAAAAAATAATAAATTAAAGAATTTCCTTAGCTCCGTTTCTCATCGATCGATCGATTGATTGATTGGCTTGGCTTGGCTTGGATTGGAAGACATCAGATCATATCAGATCAGATCAGATCAACTCTATACTCTCTCTTCATCCACATCAAGGGATATATATACAGGAGCTGGCCATATATATAAACCGATAATCAATTTTTACATAAGACTAATCCAAAGTGCGTGGCCTATAAATATTGAACAAAAGCGACAGGTGCGTTGTTGTGCTGGGGTTCTAATGGGTGCACTGCAGTAGGTTCTATATAAATGCAGGAACGATATTCACGTTCGTCGTTGGCCGTTTGTTGATTCTCGCTTTCACTTCGATTTGAGCAACATTCGCTGAAGATTCCCATTTCGTTTCTCGTCTTGTCCAGTTTTAAAGAATGTTTCGTTAGGCTTTCCTTCTTCCTTTCTGTTTAGTTTTAGTTTTAGTTTAGCGATTCAGCGTTTAGCTTTTAGTTTAAGATCATCGTTTGCTTGGATTGTTTGTTTGTCATTTACGTATCTATCTACCTAATCGTCTTAGGTCCTTCGGTCCTTCTCATATTTAACGAAAACGATTGACTGTCACAGCATGAGAGAAATCATATCAAAGATCGTTTCACATCTAGGGGATGGTTGTACTTGGATTTGAATTTGAATTTGGATTCCGGAAGGAATTGTTTGGATTGCTCGCTACTGAGATTTTGTCAAGGATGCTGTTTGTGGTTTGCTTGCTGATGGAGGGATGCTTGGATGGATGGCGTGTGATTGGATGTTGGATAGTGTTTCTCTTCTTTGTAATTCCTCCTCCTCCTCCTTAGAGCACCAAATTGGACTGCTGCTGCTGCTGGTAGGCCTCCACCGCGGAGCTCAGGCGATTGAACACCGGCAGCCTGGGCGTCGAGTCCTCCTGCTGCATCGGTGTGCTGACGCTCTTCTGCAGCAGCTGCTTGCTGCCCGCTGCTCCAGATGCGGAATTGGGTCCGCTGACCACCACATCGTAGGGCGGCGGCGTGTGCACCGGCGAAATGGGCACATTGGGACTCTCGGGCGGCGTGGCCGGTCCATGGTGGCCCATTCCCATGCCCATTCCCATGCCCATGCCCATCACCATGCCCATGCTCATGCCGAGGCCGAGGCCCGAGCTCGAGGATGTGGACGAGGCGGAGCTGTTGCTGGCGCCGCCGCCGCCATTGGAGGCCAGGATCGGCAGGGCGTCGTGGAAGGGGAAGCTGGTCAGCGAGTTGGTGGGACTCAGGGACAGCGATCCGGTGGGCGACTCCCGGTCGGATCCCGTGCTCATGCTCAGCGGTGGGCTCAGCGGCAGGTAGAACTGCTGGCTGCTGTTGTTGCTGCTGTTGCTCTGGCTGCTCTGGTTGCTCTTCGACGAGAAGCTCTGCTGCTGCTGGGAAGACGACGAGGAAGACGACTGCTGCTGCTGAGACTGCGACTGCGACTGGGAGGAGGAGGACTTGGCTGCCTGGGCCGCCTGCTGGGCACGGGCCTCGTCCGCATTGTGGACAAAGTGACAGCGCGGCCCGTAGGGACAGAAGCCCACGCTGTGGAAGGTGCGGCAGTACTCGGTCTTGTACTTGGGATGCCGCTGCAGGTTGCGCAGCTCGTGGTATCCATGGGCGAACTGGCACTTCTCGCCGTACTTGCACTCGCCGGCCTCCTCGAAGGGGCGGCACAGCTCCGTCTTGTACCTGTTGAAAAAGGATGGGAGAAAGGCAGCCATTAGTCGCGACTTCTTGTGGAAAGGGTTGGTTTTATACTAGGTAAAGCTCTAACCATCTGTTTTTCAAAATGAAATACCAAACCATCGCTCTTGTCGCTGTGTTCCTTGTGTTATAAATTTACGTATCCCTAAGCAACGACATACGATTAATTTTTGTTGACTTTAAAATTACAGTGAATATCCCTAAAAGGCAAATTACATTTCATTTATGTTGACTTAAAAATCTCAGCAACTATACATGTGAATTTGAACAGGTAAGTACTATTCTGGATATAAATATCTATCAATTGATTGTGACCAAAATCGAAGTGGACAGATTCAATTATTTTCTTTATAAAATAAATATCTATATTAAATATCTTTATTAAATATCTATAGAAATATCTATAATAAATATGTTTCATTATATTATATTTCTTATTTCTATAATAATTATCTATTAGAAATATCTATAATATATCTAAGATATCTTTTATAAATATGTTTAATAAATATCTATACAAAATATCTATAATAAACATATATATCTTTCTAATTAAATAAATTCAGGATATCTGGATTAATACAAGATTCAAATCTAAATGAACAGATTAAATATCTATAATGAATACCTATTTATAATAAATATCTATAATAGATATCTATAGAAATATCTATAATAAAAATCCTTTATAAATATCTTTAAGAAATATCTTTTATAAATAAGAATAAGAAATATCTTTAATAAATATCTACGATAAATATCTATATATTTCTAAATAGACCCCTTGATACAATTGGTCTTAGTTGAATTACCACTCACAAATCCCTACTTGCGCTTGAATTTAGATCGGAATTTTCCCGAGTTCCCAGTCCTTTGTTGACTTGACATCCCTTATCTTTTCCCCTTGATTACTCCCCCTATTTTCATTTCCCTTACCTGGAGGTGTTCATCGGCTGCTGTGGCAGTGGCTCCGACTGCGTCCGCTCCAGCTTTCGGTGCAGGTTCATGTTGCCCAGGTTCTCGATGATGGTCACCAGACTGGCCACCGGTGGCTGTTGCTGCTGCTGTTGCTGTTGCTGTTGCTGCTGCTGGATGAGCTGGTGCCTCTGCTGGGCCGGCTGTGAAATGGTGCGTGTGAGGGCGCCATGGTGGCGATGTGGCTGCTGCTGCTGGTGGTGCTGCTCCATGTTGCTGCTGCTGCTGCTGTTGTTGTTGTCCAGGACGAGATCCTGAAGTTGCTGCTGCTGCTGCTGCTGCTGCTGGAGATGATCGCGATCACGGTCGCTGGCCACCTGTGAATGCAAGAGGCGAAAAGCCAAAATCAATTTCTGTCTCTCTGTCGCTCGGGCGTATACGTAACGAGCGAATATTTCGCAAAAATCCCAAAACCCAAAAACATGAAATAAAATAGAGGGGAGGCCGAAAACAAAGGCAAAAGGCAAAAATTCGAAAAAGGCAAAAAGCAAAAGCAGCACAAAGCCAAAAGCCAAGCTCACTTTTACTTTTAACTTGACCTATAAGCAAAAGCAGAAAAAAGAAAAGGCAGAAAAGGCTGAAAAAAAACTGAAAAAACCCAACCAACACACAGAGAAGAGCTGCTAGACGACTGGGGAATATTGCAAAAGGCACACAAAAATGTTATAATTTTCCAGACATTAAACAAGCGCCAAGAAAAACCAGCTACCTCTCTTTTTTTAGCCGCTTTCAGTCACTCTTTGCCCCTTTTTTTTACCACTCTGTTACCACTCTTTCAATACCCCCCACCTCTGGTTTCATGTCGTCATCAGTTTCGGTTTTGTTTCTTTTTTTCTGTTTTTTTTTTTTTTTTTTTTTTTTGGGAACGCAACGTCCGACTTGGCCTGTTCATTTTCGTGCGATGCTGTAACATGTTATGCAACCAGTTAACACACACACACACACACACACACACACAGGCAGACCGAGTCGGCACTTAGCCCACTCCATCGAGCGTGGCCAAAACTAACAACAACCACTACCAATTACATATGTATGGAGCTCAAGTTCAAGCCAACAACACGAAAGGCAGGCAGAAAGACAGAAAGACAGAAAGGCAGAAAAGCCGAGGCTCAAAAACGCCAAGCTCAAAAGCCGGAGCTACGAAAAAGACAACAACAAGATTTTCGGGGCCCTCCCCCCAACCAGTAATCAACCGCCTCAGCACCCCCCGCTAGTCGAAAAAAGCCAACACAATTTGCCACTCTCCGCAGACGAAAAACTGGTTGGCTTGCTCAACAAGTGGGAGGGAGAGGGAGACATTGAGGGTGTGTGGCGATGCCGAGGGAGTGGGAGCGAGACAGCACGAGGCGGTGGCGCATGCGCACCTACTAAAGAGACCAGGGTTGCCAGGGTAATGCTAATAAGAAATGCTAACGACATTTAAAACAAATTTAAAAAAACGGAAGAAAATAAACAAAAAAAGAGCTACAAAACAAGACTCTTAAATAGCTTAAAAAAATTTAAACTTTTATGAAACAAGGCAGTCCTTTTAAAAGGTTACCACTAAATTAAATTAAAAACTCACCAACAAGTGTTTGTACTGATAACCAAAGCCAATTCCATTAATACATTTCAAATTTGATTAATGTAGACTAATATAGAAGTTGATATTAAAGGTTTCAACTTTAAAGTAGTAGAAGAAATACTTTTTTCTTTACTCTAGCGGCAATATAAACACTTTATTGACCACAAATCACAGGATTTAGATTTGTGCTGTGGACTCGCAGATGTTCAACTGTACATAGAGAGCCAACATGCGATTACAGAACGATATAGCCCACTTAGAGCGTCGTTATCTCGACAGATTGGGGTTTGGATGGGAAGTGGGGGGATGTGGGATGTCAAGACACATTAAAAGTCAGCCAGACATCAGATGAGGCACATAACAAATAAATATTTATACATATATGTACGTATGCACTTCATTTAGGTTATCTTTGGCCCGATTTCAGTTTCAGTTTCACCACTCAGCATTCCTTGAAATTTCATGAGTAATTCCAGAACAGGCTGAACGGGCCAAACGAAACGAAACAATTTAAATGTTCAATTAATTAATTTGCCTGCCCAATCAGTTTAGAAGCTCCATATACCATATACCATATAGCATATAGCCGATGTTCTTGTTCTTGTCGTCGATCGTTCTTATCTTATCTCTCGTCCCATTTGGCATCGTGTTGTCTTGATTTTTGTTGCTGTTTCTGTTTCACTTTTATTTCACCATTGGCATTGGCATTGAAGGGTGAGAACCACTTTTCTACCTTGGGTTCGGTACTTGACGGGCTAGAAATTACACCATTTTATTCCCAAGTACCTATGTACCTAACCCTTTAAGGTAATTTTAAAGAGCGAAATATTTGTGAAATTATTTAAACCCTGATCAAAAGACTTGAAAAAGTATATGAAATCAATAAATGTTTTAAAAAGCATCCGAAAGTATTTTGTAGTACCCTTTGGGGACAAAATAGGTTGTAAAATTCCATTTAATGAAATTATGTAAATATATTTCAAAGAAGTTAGCCTGCTATAAATAAAAGTCTGTACAATATCTCTGTTCAAATCTCATCAATGGTTTTTCCACGCGTTAAATAAAAACGGAACTTCCTGCATTGCATCGTTAATTAGTCGACTGACATTGACGACCACCTGGCAACCCTGTTTATCAGTTTCCCAGTTTCAGTTTCAATTTCGGTCTGTAACTCCGCTGCGCAGACAGCAGAAAAAGGAGGAAAAAACATGGAAAAAAACAACAGAAAAAATTAAAAACATTAACGAGCAAGCGCAACAAGTTTAGCAAACCTTTGGCGATGTTTTATTTTTTTTGCTCTTTTTTTCTGACCAACTTCAACGCTTACGGCATCTTTGCGACTGCGACTGCGGATACGGTTGCTGCCTCCTGCTTAAGCTTTTGATTTTGATTTTGCTTTTTGCCTTTGGCTTTGGCTTGCACCAAGTACCATAAATAAGATCCAAGTTTATGCCGGGTAATTTACGATTTCTTCATTTGAAGAGCCCATAAAAATCCACCAGAGGCCACCCTTGAAAAACATTACTCATATTCGCTAGGCAAAGTTAAAAAAGTGGGTAATCTTAAAGTTTCACAATAAAAAACAGCACTGATGAACTATTTGAATAAAGTTATAATGGTGTTAATATCTTCTCTTTACCCGTGAAATATTTGTATTTTCTTAAACACATATTTCAGATATCAGTATTCTAAAAAAAATTTTGATTTTATTTATTTTTTATCTATTCTATAATCTTGGTAAATACAATGAATCCTTGAATAGGTAATCGAAAGTGAAACTGGAACACAACCCAAATACCGCGTTAGCAATCCGAAACTCGGTTGAAAAGTGAAAATCGCTATCGGTGAAGAAATCTCACTTCCGCAACGAAAAACCCAAAGATAACCTTCAAACACGACGTTTCTTTTTTTTACGATTATTTGTGTGTCAATTAGTTTTGTTTAATTTTGCACAGCTGTTTTGGGGACGACGACGTTGAATTCATGGTCAAGTTATGACTCCGATTCGTGAACTGATTTCGCAAAGAGAGGTTCGCATAAACTCGCTTTGTGTGGGGTGAGTAATGGGTGATAAAATGGGGTGGAAAGGGGGGAGGGACAGGCAGACAAGGAAAGACGGTGTTTTTTTTTCTCCTTTGAAACGTGTTCGAAAAACGACTTTAAGACAATTCACCTCTCTTTGCCCCTCTTTCTTTGGCGGGTTTTGTGTAAAAACAAGATTAAGACCCATTTTGGCGAAGAGGAGGAGAAGATGGGGAGTACGGAGAGCTAGATTTGCGGTTCGTTTCAAAACTCTTGTGTTTTTTTTCCCTGTTTTGCGACCGTTTTTCCCCTGTTATGTATTATGCCTTGCTCTCTTTCTATCGCCAACTCGCCGTCTCTTTCTATCGGTGCTCCACACACTCATCTCTCTTTCTTTCCTTCCTTCTTCGTCTAGGTGAGAATTTCCCTTTCATTTGAAAATGAAAATAAGTTTACTTTTCTTTCAGTCATGCACGTTGGCTTATTTTTCAAGCTCTTCTTGTTTTCTTCTACTTGCTGGTAGAAGACTCTCTTCTCCCCCTTCTCGCTTTCTTCCCAATGTTTTCTTGCCACTTGTGTTTTGGTCGCCTGGTTTTTCTGTTTTCCGTTTCATTGTTGCGGTGGGTTAGGTTAAGACAACAACAGAAGACTAGACAGAGACAGAAGGAGAGAGTGTTTGTGGGTGGGAAAGAGAGGGAAGAATGGGGAATATGCGCTATTCGAGTTAAGGGCTACAGACCTTGAAGCCTTTTTGCAAATTTTTCCATTTTCATAAATTCTATTTTATAATATAAAATTACTTGCTCCATGCACTTTTATTACTTCATTTAGTAAAGCCAAGGGTGCTACTTTGGAGCACTATTAATTAAGTCGTAAAGTCTACCTACTTAAGTCGTTATCAAATTGTAAGCACTTTAAATGCAATGAAGTTTCGATTTCCCTTGGGAAGCTTGAACTATTTCAGATTCTAGAAAAGGGTATATTTCCATATCATATAATGAAGTTGAGTAATAGTTGAGTTACCATATAATTCTAAATGTTTTTAAACTTTAAATGATATGCAGGTTTACTTTAAAAAGGGTTCGTTTCACTCAATTTCAGATATTACATTAATCCATTAATCTTATTCCATGTCAAAATGTGCAAACGACGATTTCAATTTCGGTTCTTAATAGTTTCGATATTTTTTGGTTTTTGGACAACGCATGGATTACACATGGAAAACTTTAGTTATGCAGATGTGGTGTATGGTTTATGGTATATGATGTATGGTATATATACCATATATATATCTCTTATCGAGAGTGTGTGTTCAGGTCTTGGCTCACGGGCTGTTAGGTAAGATCGGCGATTGTTGTTGCTGCTGCTGCTGCTTACTTGTTTGTGTCTCATAAACACGTTCACACAGACACACCGGACTTTCTGAGAATGTGTGCGAGATGCTGAAGACCTGCTGTTGTTGGATTTTTGTTTTTTGTTTTTGTTTTCTTTTTTTTCGGTTGGACTAACTGGTTTATAAAGCCGTACCAATAAAAGCAACAACAACAACAACATCGCGATGACGACGACGCAATATCCATAACCTCGATGAGCTAACACCAATACAATGGTAAAAATAAAATAAAAAAAAACAGTAACCAAACACACACCCAGACAATCTTTATTCTGTTCATATATATGCGAATTGAAAATGAATACAAAGTTATTATTGAGTGTTATTTATAATAC